ACTACGGTGGTGTCAGCAAACTTGTAGATTGCATTTGTTAAGAATTTGGCAACACCGCTGTAGGTGTACAGCAAGGAGAGTAGGAAACTGAGGATGCTTCCTTGGGGGGCCCCAGCATTGTGTGTTGTTGTGGAGGAAGTGCAGTACTTACCTTGGCAATTTTAATTGTTTCATCATTGGTGGCTGTGCCTTCAGTTACCTGACCTCCAAATTCTGTAATTGTCTCTCTGTAATTCTGGTTCTGTACCTCACTTGGTCATCTGAGGTGATGGCCTAGTGGTATTATTGCTGGACTGTTAATCTAGAGACCCAAATAATGTTCTGTGAACAAAAACAAAGTTGTGGGAAAAGCTCAGCAGGTCTGGCAGCATCTGTGAAAGAAAGAAAAGAGTTAATGTTTCAGGTCCAGTGACCCTTCCTCAGAACTGATGGTGGCTGGGAAAACGTCAATTTATGTGCAGAAAATAGGGAGGTGGATGGGGTAGGGAGTAAACAATAGGATAGAGACTAAAGAGAGAGAGAAAGACAGTTGGACAGACAAAGTGTTGATAACGATCAGGCTGCGAGGGTGAATAGTTGTTAATGGGGACTGTTAGTGACTAACAACAGGGGGTATGTAATGGCAGGCTATGTGGTAACAAGGCCTCGTGTGTGGGGTTGGGGGCTGGGATATGGGAGAGTTTAGGCCCTAAAATTATTGAACTCCATATTGAGTCCGGAGGGCTGTAGGGTCCCCAAGCAGAAAATGAGGTGTTGTTCTTCCACCTTGTGTTAAGCTTCACTAGAACACTGCAGCAAACCAGACACAGAAACGCTGGCCAGGGAACAGGGTGGTGTGTTAACGTGGCAGGGAACAGGTAGTTCAGGGTCTTTTTTGTGAGCAGAACGTAGGTGTTCTACAAAGTGGTCGCCAAGTCTACACTTCATTTCCCCAATGTAGAGGAGACTATGTTGTGAGCAGCGAACGCAATAGACTAGAGTCTGGGAAGTGCAAATGAAGCTTCACCTGGAAGGTATGTTTGGGCCCTTGGATACTGGGGAGGAGGGAGGTAAATGGGCAGGTGTTGCATCTTCTCCGGTTACAGAGGAACGTGCCGTAGGGCTGTGGGGAGGTGTTGGGGGTGAAGGAAGTGTGGACCAGGGTGTCCCAGAGGGAACGGTCCCTGCAGAAGGCGGACAAGGGAGAGGAGGGGAATATGTGTCTGGTGGTGGCATCTCACTGGAGGTGGTGGAAATGGCACCTGATGATCTTCTGGATGTGGATGCTGATGGGATGGTAGGTGAGGATAAGGGGAACTGTTGTGGGAGGGAAGAGAAGGCATGAGGGCGGAAGTGCGGGAGATGGGTCAGACCCGCTTGAGGACCCTGTCGACCACGGAGCTGGAATCCTCGGTTGAGGAAGAAGGTGGGCATTTCGGAGGCTTCCTTGTCAACGTTGGCCTCCTCTGAACATATACGATGGAAATGGAGGAACTGAGAGAATGGGATGGAGTCTTTACAGGAAGTGGGGTGTGAGGGTGTATAGTCCAGGTAGCTGTGGGAGTCAGTGGGTTTGTAATGGATATTAGTGGCCAGTCTATCCCCAGAAATGGAAACACAAATGTCTAGGAAGGGAAGGGAAGAGTCAGAGATAGACCAGATGAAAGTGAGGGCAGGGTGGAAATTGGAGGTGAAATTGATGAAGTTTTCCAGTTCCAGATGAGAGAGGGAAGCAGCACCGATGATATCATCGATGTATCGGAGAAAGAGTTGTGGGTGGGGGCCAGAATAGGACTGGAACAAGGAATGTTCCATGTACCCCACAAAGAGACAGGCATAACTAGGGCCCCTGTGGGTACCCATGGCAACCCCTCTTACCTGAAGAAAATAAGACAACATAACAGAGAAGTTGTTGAGGGTGACGATGAGCTCAGCCAAGCGGTGGTGATGGGTGGGGATGGTTCAGGTCTTTGCTCCAGGAAGAAGCAGAGAGCCCTAAGACCGTCCTGGTGGTATTGGACGTGTAAAGGGATTGCACATCCATGGTAAAGAGGAGGTGGCTGGGACCGGCAAATTGAAAGTTTTGAAACCTGCAGAAGGCGCAGATGATTCATGGATGTACGTGGGTAGGGATTGGACCAGGGGGGAGAAGACTGAGTCAAGGTAGGAAGAGTTGAGTTCTGTGAGGCACGTGCAGGCTGAAACAATGGGTCTGTCAGGACAGTCCTGTTTGTGGATTTTTGGGAAGAGGTAGAAGCGAGCTGTGCGGGGTTGGGGGTCTATCAGCTTGGGAGCAGAGGAGGGGAGATCACCGGATGAAATGAGATCAGTAACTGTAGTAGATACAATGGCCTGATGTGTCATGATGGGGTCATGGTCCAGGGGAAGGTAGGGTAACATTCTGGGGACCTGGGTTCAAATCCCGCCATGGCAGATGGTGGAATTTGAAATCAATAAAATATCTGGAATTAAGAATTGAATGATGACCAAGAATCCATTGTCAATTGTCAGACTAACCCATCTGGTTCATTAATGTCCTTTAGGGAAGGAAACTGCCATCCTTACCTGGTCTGGCCTACGTGTGACTCCGGACCCACTACAATGTACTTAGAATCCCAACAGTGTGGAAACAGGCCCTTCGGCCCAACAAGTCCACACAGCATCCCACCCAGACATAACCCCTAATCTCCACATCCCTGAACACAACAGGCAATTTAGCACGGCCAATCCACCTTGCCTGCACATCTTTGGATTGTGGGAGGAAACCGGAACACCCGCAGGAAACCCACGCAGACACGGGGAGAATGTGCAAACTCCACACAGACAGTTGCCCGAGGGTGGAATCCAACCCGGGTCTCTGGTGCTGTGAGCCAGCAGGGTTAACCACTGAGCTACCATGCCACCCTTAATGTGGTTGATTCTTAACTGCCCTCTGGGCAGTTAGGGATGGGCAATAAATGCTGTCTGGTCAGCGACGCCCCCATCCCATGAATGAATTAAAAAAACCTAATATCACTTTCTATGGCTCATTGCCACAGTTTGTTTTATAATACTCACTCACTGTGAAGTGGCTTGGATGTTTGATTATGTGAAAGGTGCCAGGTAAAAGATTGTTGCTAACAAGGTGTAGAGCTGGATGAACACAGCAGGCCAAGCAGCATCAGAGGAGCAGGAATGCTGACGTTTCGGGCCTAGACCCTTCTTCAGAAATGGGGGAGGGGAAGGGGGTTCTGAAATAAATAGAGAGAGAGGGGGAGGCGGATAGAAGATGGATAGAGGAGAAGATAGGCGGAGAGGAAACAGACAGGTCAAAGAGGCGGGGATGGAGCCAGTAAAGGTGAGTGTAGCTGGAGAATTAGGGAGGAGATAGGTCAGTCCAGGGAGGACGGACAGGTCAAGGGGGCGGGATGAGGTTAGTAGGTAGGAGATGGGGGTGGGGCTTGAGGTGGGAGGAGGGGATAGGTTGGAGGAAGGACAGGTTAGGGAGGCGGGGATGAGCTGGGCTGGTTTTGGGGTGCGGTAGGGGGAGGGGAGATTTTGAAGCTTGTGAAGTCCACATTGGAACCTATCTTCTCCTCTATCCATCTTCTATCCACCTCCCCCTCGCTCCCTATTTATTTCAGAACATCCTTCCCCCTCCCCCTCCCCCATTTCTGAAGAAGGGTCTAGGCCCGAAACGTCAGCCTTCCTGCTCCTCTGATGCTGCTTGGCCTGCTGTGTTCATCCAGCTCTACACCTTGTTATCTCAGATTCTCCAGCATCTGCAGTTCCTACTATCTCTGAAGAGATTATTGCTGCTGTCTTTGTATATAGTTTTGTGAAGAGGGCAGACAGAAACAATCGTGGATATTTCTGCTTAGATTGACTTAAAAGTGGAATTTATCTCTTTCAAGATTAACTAGGAATTAATCATTAAAAGGAGCTTTGACCTGTTGAAGAAAAGCAATTATCTAAAATCTGTCACTCCCAAAATAAGACCCTCATATTTTCACTAACTTTCACAGACTATTTTGTTGCTCAGATTTTTTTGCTGCCTTTTGTGATGGTGGAGAAGTTTCTGTGAAATCCCTCATGGGAATGAAAAAAAAATCTTCTGGAAGCAGTTAGTTTTAAACATATTGTTTATTTCATAATATTCTACATTCTACCACAGGGCCTTGAAATACTTTCACATCTAAAAATGTTAGTAACACCATTAGGAAATATCGGAATAAGTATCTGACTGTTGCCTTTTTCATGAAGTGAAACAATAGCTTTTAAAAAAGACGAGAAAGTGGGAACTGGGCACATAGTTGCTGGTTTTCTTTTTACTGTATGGCTGACAGATGTGAACTTTGAGCCAAATCTTGTGACTGCAAAGAGACAGAGATAAACAACAGGAATATAAATAGCGAGGAACAACTGGTAGCCCGATAGAAAAGACCAATCGGAGCAGAAATAAGAACTAAATAAGAAGACCAAAACAACACGTAAGGCATAATGTTGTACGTTTTAATGAAGTTAACGGATATGTTTGCATTAAACTGTTAAAATAAGTAAATAGCAATTAATAGTGCAAGGTAGAGTGGTACTTTTTCCTTATTTTGTCAGCGGCCTTTTTTTTAGAAAACGTGCCAAGTCTAATGAAGCAAACAATTAAAACTGATTGTTTTTTTAAATCAGCGATGTCTTTTGCTCAGTGAATGAGTGCGATTGAGTCACGCAGTTTATGATGAAAAGTCCGATCGTTGGAGTTACTCGTTCAGGTTTTGTGATTGAAATGTATTTGAAGCCACCGAATAATTATGTTAAGTACTGCCCAGTTATTATTGCGTTAATTTCAGAACCTGTTCGCGTCTTTTTTTATCCTTTAGGACCCTTTTCAAAAATCTTTGAAATTTTTGTAGATTTAGATTCCTTTTGAGTATTTCTAGGGGTTATTTTTAATCTGAAAACGTTAGAATCTGTGCAATCGATATGAAATAGAAGCTGTTGCAGAATTGGCAAGCGTTGCTCGTGCTTTACAAGGCATCTACCAACACAAGAAATGGAGCAATCTTCACAAATCTGTCTTGTTCAGTGCCAACAGTTCGAATTTATAACTTAAATAAAACACAGCACGCTAAATGAATAGAGAATCGCCCTGTGCTGGTGTTCGCCATGTTGTACGGATTCCTATTTCAACTCTAGTATATGAAGATCTAAACCACACTTCTTGAAAATCCATCCACTGCCAGTTTCAAACTATAAATATAGCTAACTGAACTGGATGTTTCAACAACAGCAAACATCGCCTCCTACCATGCCTTGACCAATCAAAATAATTAGGACTGTCGAGAGGGCTTTCAACGAGGCGGGGGTGGGTTTGGGAGAGGGGAAATATTGACTGACAAGAGGATTTGGCAGCATTATAGGGCAGTGATTGGGACAGAGTATCCAAACATTTAAAAAAAGGCAATAAATAGGGTCAGGGGACAGGGTGAAATGGTAAAATGCCAAAATTAATGATCTTTACTTGTACGCAGTAGTATGCAGAACAAAATAAATGAATCAACTGCTCAAATACAGGTTAATGGCTATCATCATAAAAACCGAAAGAACTGCGGATGCTGTGAATCAGGAACAAAAACAGAAGTTGCTGGAAAAGATCAGCAGGTCTGGCAGCATCTGCGAAAGAAAAAACAGAGTTAATGTTTCATGTCTGGTGACCCTTCCTCAGAAGTCAATGTTGTTAATGGGTATCATGTTGTAGCCATTACAGAGACATGATTGCAAGGAGATCAAAACTGAGAATTAAATGTTCAGGGGTATGTGACTTTTTGAAAGGGCGGACAGAAAGACAGAGTAGCTGTTAGTGTGGGATGAAATAAGTACAAAAGCAAGAAATGATCTTGAATCAGAAGATGCAGGATCCAATGGGTGGAGATAAAAAAAGGGAAAAAAAAACACTTGCAGAAGTAGTCTATCAGCCCCCCTCCCCTTAAAACTATATGGAAGGACAGGGAATAAATCAAAAGATGAGAGCATGTAACAAAAGCAGCATGTTAATCATGTGTGACTTTTAACCTTCATGTAGATTGGGATAGATTGGCAGAGGAAGTCATGAGGAAGAATCGATTATGTTAGGGACAAAATTTTGTGGGTCCAAGTAGGGATCAGGCTATTTTGAACCTGGGAATGAGTAATAAGCAGATTTAATAAATTATTTCCGAGTAAAAGATCCCCTTGGAAACAGTCACTGTAAGATGGTAGAATTCAGGAGGGAGGAACCTGGGTCTGAAACTTCTGTGTAAACTTAAATGAGGGTAATCACAAAGGAATAATGGCAGAGTTGGCTGGAGTGGACTGGGAAAGGAGTTCAGCAGCAAAGATGATTGAGGAATAATGGCAGACTTTTAAGAAAATAGATCATGGCTCGCAGCAAAATCATATCCCAGTGAGGAAGAAGAATTCTAGGAAGGGGATAAGGCAACCAAAATCCAAATTTGGATTTTCAGAAGATGCTTAATAAGATACCACGCATTAGGCAACTTAATAAGATAAGAGCCGAATGTGTCAGAGGCAGTATATTAGCATGGATAGAGGGTGGGCTAACTCATAGAAAACAGAGCAAAAACAAAGTTGCTGGAAAAGCTCAGCAGGTCTGGCAGCATCTGTGAAAGAAAAAACAGAGTTAACGTTTCGGGTCCGGTGACCCTTCCTCAGAACTTCTCAGCCTTCACAGATGCTGCCAGACCTGCTGAGCTTTTCCAGCAACTTTGTTTTTGCTCATGATTTTCATTTTTTACATTAAAAAAACAGAGGGTTGGGATAATGGGGCTATTGTTGGGATGGAAACCTATAATTAGTGAACAGCCGCAGGGATCTGTGCTGAGGCCACAGTTATTTACAATTTATATTAAGGACTTGGATGAGAATGGTGAATTTCCTGTCACCAAGTTTGCAGATAACACAAAAATAGGTTGGGAAGCAAGTGGTAATAATGACACAAAAAGTCTGCAGAAGGATATAGACATGGTAAGTGAGCGGGCAAAAACTTGGCAGGTAAAATATATTATGGGAAAATGAGAGATTTATATATTTTGACAGGAAGAAAAGATTGCATACATCTACAGAACTGAGGGATTTGTAAATCCTCACCCACAAATCACAGGAAGCCAGCATCCAGGTACAGAGGGTCATGGGAAGAGCAAATGGAATGTTGGCCTTTATTTCAAAGGGAATGGAGTATAAAAACAGGGAAGTTTTGCTAAAATTGTTCAAGACACTAATCAGACCACAGCTGGAATATTGTGAATAGTTTTGGGCCCCTTAAATAAGGAGAGATATACTGACATTGGAGGCAGACCAGAGAAGGTTCACTTGGCTGATCCCCAGGATGGAGAACTATCTTGCGAGGAGAGATGGAGTAAGTTGAGCCTTTATGTATTGGGCTATAAAAGAATGAGAGATGATCTTATTCAAACATAGAAGATTCTTGGAGAACTTAACAAGATGGAAAGGTTGTTTCCTCTTGTGGGAGAGTCTAGAACCAGAGGGCACAATCTCAGAATAAGGATCACACCTTTTAAGACAGAGATGAGGAATTTCTTCTCTCAGAGGGTATAGAATTGGTGGAATTCTTTAACACAGAGTGTTGTCCAGGCTGGGTCGTGAAGTACATGCAACACTGAGATGAATTTTTAATAAGTAGGGAATCAAGGGTTCTGTGGAAAAGCAGGAAAATGTAATTGAGGATTGTGAGATCAGCCACAATCTCATTGAAGAAGAGTGCAGCAGATTTGATGTCTTGAGGCCTTTTCTTACTAAACATCTAGGATAGACTAAACAGACCAGGTGCAGAAATCAATCCAGAAAATGCTGGAAACAATCTGGCTGTGGGAGTGTCTGTGGAAAACAAAACAGAATTCTGACTTTTCTGTTCTGGTGAAAGTTCTTTGACCTGAAATGTTAGTTTTATTTTTCTGCCCATTAACACTGACAAATGGAGAAGTAGATGAATTTACACCGTTCTTTTCCCAAAAAGAGGGAAGCTTAATTGAATTGAGTATAAATTGGTGGAATTGGAAGATATGATCCCAAATTAACCAGCAAAGTTGGTACAATCCATGTAGTGCAAATGGGATTTGAGTCATCATTAAACGGTGAATTTAGAAATGAGGTAGCAATGCTCAATTGTCCTAAAGAAATCAAATATTCTCTAGGGAGATTTATGCTAACTCTATATTTGCAGCAATTTGCTTTAACACCAGGCTAAGTAAGATTTTGGTTTGCTTGAGTATCTGAATCATAGGGGTGGCATGGTGGCTCAGTGGTTAGCACTGCTGCCTCACAGCACCAGGGACCTGGGTTTGATTCCAGCCTCGGGTGACTTTCTGTGCAGAGTTTGCACATTCTCCTCATGTCTGCATGGGTTTCCTCTGGGTGCTCCAGTTCCCTCCTACAGTCCAAAGATGTGCAGGCTAGGTGAATTGGCCATGCTACATTGCCCGCAGTGTTCAGGGATGTGTAGATTGGGTGGGTTATAGGGGAATGGATCTGGGTGGGATGCTCTGAGAGTCAGTGTGGACTTGTTGGGCTGAAGGGCCTGTTTCCACACTGTAGGGATTCTAATGTGTTGAGAGTATTTTAATACTGTCCAAAATATTCTTCTATGAAAGTACAATGAATAAAATTATATTCCAATAAAATTGTGGTTTATTATAAAACAAAACTATCATTATGGTGAGATAACACTGTGTGGAGCTGGATGAACACAGCAGGCCAAGCAGCATCAGGGGAGCAGGAAGACTGACCTTTCAGGTTGGGACCCTTCTTCAGAATATTAACTAGTTGTGCTGATGGTACCTTTGATGTTTAGATGGTGCTTTCTCTAAGACATAGAGAAGGCTATGACAGCCTGCGATTCTCTTTTGAGAGCTGAAGGCTATTGGATCTGGCGGATGGTAGTTAGCTCTGGCCCCTTCCTTTATACTCTTGAAGACATATCAACATTTCTTACAATAGGATTGGTCAACATGTTGTTAAAGCCATCAGATTTAAATTTAATTGTTTATTAATGTCTAAGTGCCTGGTTCAAACTGATTGGCTAAATTGAATACTTGTTGTCTTGGTAAAACTGTTGCTTGGCCTGTCAACTGTATGGCCTTTTGATATAAATGTTTCAATTCGGGTGCTCTCTATGTACTTACAAACTTTCAAGCTGCTGCTCACAGACATCCATTTTAAATCTCTAAGCACAGAAAAAAGGATATTTTAAAGGGACCATGCAATGCTTCCTCCACCTAGCATTTTACAAACACCAAATTCTAACTCGGAGATAGTAAGAACTGCCGATGCTGGAGTCAGAGATAACACAGCGTGGAGCTGGAGGAACACAGCAGGCCAGGCAGCATCAGAGGAGCAGGAAAGCTGACGTTTTGGGTCGGGGCCCTTCTTCAGAAATCATTATGGTGAACTGGATATTGATGGTGGTCTGAAATGAAAATCTGGAAGAATGGGTTATGTCCAAAATGTGTACTGTCCAGTTGCAAAAGTTGTTAAAATTTCATCAAATCAAGACTTTAATACTTTTCTTTCAGCCAAAGCCCTGAGCGTTAATGCGAAAAGGGCTGGGCGTTGCCCTGACTCTCTGCCTGCTCCTGGTGGGGTGGGTGGAGGGTCAGGAGCACTGCAACAAGCCACCAGCATGGACCATTGGAGGGAAAGAACCAATGACCGATTCTCTGGGCAAAGTGACAGTTGTGGCCCTGCTCCAGGCTAGCTGACATTTCTGTCTGACTCAGGCAGCTGGGTAAGAGCAATAAATTAAGTGCATTTGCTCCTTTTTATGTCAACAAGGTGGAATTGTTTTATATGTTTATGTGGAGGAATAATGCAGTATACACAAGGTCACATACTGGCTTGAACAGCAAAATCACAAATTGGCAAACTTTCAGCTGAACTGGAAATGACAGGATTTTTTCCAGCAGCAGACGTCTGGCAAGTAATGACTATCAGAGAGCTAGCTCAGCAGTATCTAACACACTTTTTATTCCCTAACCCTACAATTCTATAGCTCTTCTAAAGTCTTGGCACAGCACAATGGGCCACAATGTCTCCTTTGTGTGGATCATTCTGGAGTCCAAAACTTTTCATGCCCTTTCCAAGTTCTAATGAAATTAGAGTGTTACTGAAAGCCCCTGATGTCCAACAGGGAAAATAATGCTCTGTAGTAGCAAGAAGCAAGAATAATCTCATTTCAGTTTTCACTATTGGTCTGTTATTTATTTACACTTCCAGATCGTAGAAATTTACAAAGCCTAATTCTGCACCAGTTTTGTCAGTTCTGTTGCATATTATGAATGTAGCACGTTTCATAACTGCCTACAAACACATGAATCAGAAGCAACAGAGGTTGTTCAGCCCATCAAGCCGTTCTATAAGATCATGGCTTATCTTTATAGGAATCCCTACAATGTGGAAGCAGGCCATTCAGCCCCTAGAATCCACACTGACCCTCCAAACAGCATCCCACCCAGACCCACCACATCCCTGTAACCCTGCATTTCCCATGGCTAACCCACCTAACCTGTACATTATGGGGAAGTTAGCATGGCCAATCTACCTAACCCTACACATCTTTGGCCTGTGGGAGGAAACTGGAGCACCCTGAGGAAACCCATGCAGACATGGGGAGAACATGTAAACTCCACACAGTCGCCCAAGGCTGGAATCAAACCTGGGTCCCTGCCACTGTGAGGCAATATTGCTAACCGCTGAGCCACTGTACCACCCAATTCTAACAGCCCATCCACATGCCCACCTCTCCTGAAACCCTTTCACCTTTCTCTTGACAAAAATCTATCTACCTCTGACTTAGAAATATTTAAGGACTCTGCTTACATCACCTTTTCAGGAAGAGAGTTCCAAAGACTCATGATCCTCTGAGGGGGAGAAAGTCCCGATTCACCTCTGTTTTAAATGGGAATCCCTGATTTGTGACCCCCTAGTTCTAGATTCTCCCACAAGGGGAAGCATTCTCTCCACATCTAACCTTTCAAGAACCTTCAGGATTTTATGCTTCAAGCACATTTTCTAAATCTAAACTCCATTAGATACAAGATTAACCTGCCAAACCTTACCTCAGATGACAACCTGCTGATTCAGGTAAGGATAATAAATTAAATGCATTTGTTCCTGATTATATCAATAAGTTAGAATAATTTTACCAATTTTTGTGATTCCAGTTTGGTAAATGTCTCCAAAGTGCCACGAATGCATTCATATCTTTCCTTTTAATAAAGTGATCAATATTGTGCATAGTACTCCAGATGTGGTCTCACCAGCGTGCTTTATAACTGAAGTACAATTCACTTAATTTTGCATTAGATTCTCCTTGCAATAAATATTAACATTCTATTAGCTTTCCTAATTACTCACTGCACCCTTTTTCTTTTATTCATAGAGTCATAGTCATACAGCATGGAAACAGGCCCTTCTGTTCAACCAGTCCAGGCCGATCATGTTCCCAAATGAAACTAATCCCACTTGCCTGTGTTTGACCCATATCCCTCCAAACCTTTCCTATTCATGTCTTTTAAATGTTGTAACTGTACCCGCCTCCACCACTTCCTCTGGCAGTTCATTCCACACACAAACCACTGTCTGTGTGAAAAAGCTTGCCTCTCATGAACTTTGTAAATCTTTCTCCTCTCACCTTAAAAATATGTCCTCTCATTTTGAACTCACCCACCCTGGGGAAAAGACCCTTGCTATTCACCTTATCTGTGCCCTCCATGATTTTATAAATCTCTCTAAGGTCACTGCTCAACCTCCAACACTCCAGCCTATCTTTTTAACTCAAACTCTCCATTCCTGGCAATATCCTAATAAATCTCTTCTGAACCCTCTCCAATTTAATAATATCCTTCGTATAGCAGGGTGACCAGAACTGTACACAGCACTCCAGGGGGGGCCTCACCAACATCCTGTACAACCTCAACATGTTGTCCCAACTCCTATATTCAACGGTCTGAGCAATGAAGGCAAGTGTGCTAAATGCCTTCTTAACCACCCTGTCTACATGTGATACAAATTTCAAAGAACCCCTGGACCTCTCTGTTGTACAAAACTATGCAGGGCCCTACCATTAACTGTATAAGCCCTGCCCTTGTTTGTCTTACCAAAATGCAACTGGGGCATTCAGTTCCTTCTGTAACTCAGTGCTTCGCAATATCTCATCATTTAGATATTATCCTTTCTTTTATTCTTTCTGCCGTAATGGATAATTTCACATTTTTCCTGCACTATACTCCATTTTTCCACTTCTTTGTCCATTCATTTAACCTTTTTTTTTGGGTCCTCTTCACAACTTATTTTTCTGCCTAACTTTGTGCCATCAGCAAATTTGACAAACATACCTGAGACCAAAAATTAGGCCATCTGGCCTATCAAGTCTGCTCCACCACTTGATCATGGCTGATATGTTTCTCAACCCCATTATGCTGACTTCTGCCCATAACCCTTGAACCCCTCACTAATCAAGAACCTATCTATCTCTGTCTTAAATACACTCAACGACTTGGCCACCTCAACCTTCTGTGGTAACAAGTTCCACAAATTAACAACCCTCTAGCTGAAGAAATTCCTTCTCATCTCAGTTCCACAGGATCGTTCCCTTCACTCTGAGGCTATGCTTTCAGGTTCTAGTCTCTCCTATTAGAGGAAGCATCTTCTCCAAGTCCACTCTATCCAGGGATCTCAGTATTATGGAAACTTCAATCTGATTTCCTCCACATCCTTCTATGCTCTGAGTACAGACCCAGAGTCCTCAGCCTCTCCTGACATGACAAGCCCTTCATCCTTGGAATCATTCTTACAAACGTCCTCTGGACCCACACCAAGGCCAGCACATCCTTTCTTAGATACCGGGCCCAAAATTGCTAAGTCCTTTTAAATAAATTGTAAGCAGTTAAGGCCCTAGCACCAACAGTTGTGGTACACCACTCATTATATCTTGCCAATCTGCTTTGCTTCCTGTTAGTCGGCCAAACCAAAATTCATGCCAACATGTTACACATTACACCATAAACTTTTATTTTCTACAAAAACCCTTGTTATGGCACATTATTGAATAACTTCTGAAAATCAAAGTACAGTATACCCTCCAGTTCCCCTTTAACGACAGCATTTGTTACCTCCTCAAAGACCTCCAATAGATTGGTCAAATAAGATGACCCTTTCACCAAACCATGTTGACTGCCTGATTATTTTGAGCTTATCCGAATGCTGGGTGTAACTTTTTTAACCATAGCTTCTCTATGATAGATGGCAGGTTATCCTGCCTGGCATTTCCTCCTTTCTGTTCCCTTCCCTTTTTGTATAAGAGCTACATTTGCTTTCTTCTATCCCCACATCAGGGAATTTTGGAAAACTTAAAGGTAATGCATCATCAATCTCACTAGCCACTTCTTTTAAGGCACTGAGATGAAGTCCATCCATTCTTGTCAATCCACAGCTCCAACAATTTTACTCAGAACCACTTCTCTGATAATTGTGATTTTCTTGAGTTCCTCCCTTCCTTCCATTTCCCAATGTATCGTTGCTTCTGGGATGTTATTTGTACTCTGTGTGGTGAAGACTGATGCAAAATACCTGTTCAACTCATCTGCCATTCCTTATTTTCTGTTAGTAATGCTTTACTCTCACTTCCACTTTCTGTAGGACCAACACTCATTTTGTTAACTATTTTCTTCTTTAAATATTTATAGAAACTCCTACTATCAGCTCTTAGATTCCTCTTGTACTCTAACTTCTTTCTCTTTCTATTCATTTTTTTGTGATTCTTTGTTTTTTACTTTCTGTCCAATCTTCTTAAGTGCCACCTGTCTTTGCACAATGACTTGCTTTTTCTTTAAGTTTGATGCTATCTTCAATATTTCCATTTAACCACAGACAGTGGGTTAATGGAATGAAATCTATTGGAAATTTTCTTACTCATTGAAATGTATTTATTCTGTATATTCTGAAATATCCACTTAAATGCCTGACACTGCAACTCTATTTACCTTTCTGTTAACCCAACTTGCCAATTTACTTTTGTCAGCCATGCTTTCATGCTTCATAATTGGCCTTATTTAAATTTTAAAAAGTTAAGCATGGCCCCAGTCTTCCCTCCCTCAAAGTGAATGTAAAATGCAATCACATTATGATTACTCCTACCTAGACTTCAGTATTATTCATTAATCCTATCTTGTTGCACAATACCAGTGTAGCCTGCAGTACAAGATTCAAAATGTCACCCTTGTCTCATCCCAGCTATTAATTTGAACCATTTCATTAGTTTACTATCCACTCTAACAGTGGTCAATTACTTATTTTAGATATTTTCAAACTGTCTGACAAATTTTGAGGAATACCATACATCCATAAGCCTTGTCATGTCAATTCTTGCCGTACTGTGTTAAAGATCTGTTAAAAATCCACAATTATTGCTACATGTCATTTCAGGAGTCATTCCAGCTCTGTGGCAGTGCTCACCACCACTAATCGAGCACCATCAGCTTAATTAAGATATGAATGTTTGTAAATAGTGTCACGAGACTGACACAGGGTCAGAACCCAAGAATTCTCCATTTGCTGGGCTCCTGACCCTGACCTGAAAATCTCAACCACTAAGTTCCACATTTTAAAAATTATCTCTCCCCATACTCATCGATATAAACTCATTCCAATTCACAGCCCCCTGGCAATTCATTTATTGTGCCGAATGAGGAATAGTTTCTGGTGAGTTGTGCACTGATGAATCAGTCTGCACATAGCACGCCAGCATCAGTATTTCACTGTCTCCAAATTTCCCCTTTAATAACCTTTTTGTATAATGTACTCCCCCTTGGCATAAAAGACAGGTTTTAGGGACTGGTTCTTGGAATTGGAACTTAATTCAATTAGTTATTAATTCATCCTGAGATAATCCTCTGCAAATATCCAGGGTCACATTTCAATCTGGTTTGAACTCCTCTTCCATCCACCACCCCTCACTTTCAAAAAAACTATAAATTGTAAAACTTATGACACAAATATAAGAATTAGAAGCAAAGTAGGCTGTTTGGCCCATTGGGCCTGCTGTACCATTCAAAAGGATCATGGCTAATCTGTTTGTGTTTTGATTTCCACTGTGCCATCTACCCCCTATAACCTGTGACTCCTTTGCCTAACAAGAATCCATCAACTTCGACCTTAAATAAAAAACCTTCACTAACACTGTGTCCACTGATTTTTGAGATAAAATTCCCAAATCACACAACCCCCTAAGAGAAACAAGAATTTGCTCATCCCTGACCTGAAACAGTGACCCTTAATTTTAAAACAATATTGCTCACACACAATCACTGCTCACTCTTCTAAACTCCAGTGGAAACAAGCCCAGCCTGTTCATCCTTTCCTTGTAAATCAACTTACTCATTCCACATTATACTCCATCTGCAGATTTATGCCCACTGTCCGAACTTATATATATCTATTGGCATCCTCTGTAGTTAAAAACAAAAGACGCTGGAGAAGGTCTGGCAACATTTGTGGACAGAGAAAAACAGCTAACGTTTTGAGTCTAAAGACTCTTCTTCAGCATCTTCCTATGTCCTTTTCACAACATATGTTCCTACCTATCTTTGTCATTTACAGATTTATGCCTTCGCTCCCTTCATTTAAATCTTTGATAATAATTGTAAAAGGCTACTGTACTTGTCAGAACTGTCAATCAGAAGGCCCATTTATGCATACGCTGTTTTCTGCCAGCTAATCCTCTAACCATGCTATCATATTATTCCACCACCAATAAAAGCACAATGATCTTTTATTTTCAGCATGTCCTTGTCTGTGGCACGTTGTCAAATGCCTTCTGGAAATCAAAGTACAGGTTCCCTTTTATCCACAGCTCACAGTAATCCTTCAGACGATTCCAATAAACTAGTTAAATATGATTTACGTTTCATGAAATGAAACCATTCTGACTCTTTCTGATTACCTTGAATTTTTCTAAGTGTTCAGCTCTAAGCTCCTTAATGATTGATCAATTCATTCTCCCCACGACAGATGTCAGGCTGATTACCTGTAGTTTATCTTTTTCTGTTTCCCTCCCTTCTTAAACGAAAGGTTTTATTTGGTACTTGCCAGACTGATGGAATCTGGAGTCTATCAAATTTTTGAAAGTTAACACCAACTTATCTAATTCATATCAATAAGTACTGCTTTGCCAATGCTGCCCAAGATTATTGCTTTTTAACGCTGCAGACAGGATTGTAAATTTAGCAACTTTCCAGTTTTGGAAGCACGTAACAAAACTTCTTTTCTTTCAGAAAGATGAGTAACACTTGAACAAAGTTATCATTCCTATTATTTCATTCCTCTAATTACTTTGTTAGTTTGTAATTAATATTAGCAGTATTAATTAATAATAACTTAATGAAATATCCCAACTCATATATACCTTAGCTAAGGCTCATTTAACATTCTATCTTCAGTTTGTGGTTTATAAATTAATTTATCATTTCAGTTTGACAGTCCTGCAACAAAAACTACACGAAAATGGATTTGTGAATGTCTCCTTCATTGTGGTAAATCACCAAGGGAAATCCTCACGTGAAAAGTACCAACATCTAAACTCAAAGGTGGAAAATCAAATTCCCGTGTATCAGCAGGATGTTAATCAACCTGATGTTTGGACGCTGCTCCGAGGAATTAAGGATGACTTCCTGATCTATGATAGGTGTGTTACACTAATGGTTAATTTTGAGATTAGTCAACAGCTTTCAGAATGTACATTCTACATGTTTCTCACTGCAAATTGCATTGACACTTCACTATACTCCAACTTTGTCACTTATTTATAACATAAGTGCATCTTAAAAGAATAAATTGTGTTTTTAAACATTTCTAAAAGGAGAGAAGAAGTTGAAGCTTTCAGTGTTGCATTTATCAGAACTATGACACAAGAAACAGACTTGAACAAAATCCCACATCTTGTACAGCATGAGAATGGAGTGCTGATTGGTTGGGCCATCATTGGCATGGAGATGCAGCAAGATCAGTTACTTGTAAATCTTAACAACAACATAAATGATGCCATACAAAGCCTACATGTTGACAGTAATAACATGTCTATGTGCTCTCTTGACATTACTAACTTATTTACCAACACAAAGAAGCTGTTGACATTCGCATTATGTCACTCCATCATGGCCATCTCTGTGGGAATCTCAGTTCAGCAAACTCATAAACTTAATAACTTATGCAGTTGAGTTCAGTTTCAATGACACCATGTACATTGCCACACAATCTCCTTTAGATCCAATACTGCTAAGATTTTTGTTGGTTACCAGGAGAAGCACACTTTCAGTGGAAAGACAATGAACCTCCTACCTATTGCATCTAATGTGTTTCTGATATTTGAATCTGCAACTGCATCAAAGAATTTGTTTACAGCTGACTAAACTCCATCCATTGGAATGGAATAATTTAATGTTAGCTTGTGTCTTA